CCCTGTGCCCCCGGGCGCTGCCGACGCTGCATTCCCACGGAGCCGGAGCAGGGACCCGCGCCACCGACTCCACGCCCTCGGCTTCTCGTTAAACCGATTTAAAACTGATGTAAAATCAATTACCATCTGCTCGCGGGAATGAAACGAAGGAGGATGTCGGATCTTACATCTCAGGTGTTAACTGCAGGCATGAACATCCTCAAAAATGCCTAAAAATTCTCCAAATGTTCACGCAGTTTGTGTAAAAAGAAAAATAATCTTCCTTACTAAAGAGAAAATTGGTTTAAATTCAAATATGAAACTCCGGAACGTGTCAGAAGCTACCACACGAACTGCACCTCAACGGTCAGCAGAGTTTTCCTGCTCGGCCGCTCCACACCGCGTAGGTCCGTGCGCTTTTCTCCTTGCCGTAACACCCCCGAGAGACCCTGTCCCGGAGGAAGCGCCAGCACCTTGGTGCGAATTCACCGCGCCAACCTGCACGCTCACGCTCCATGCAAAAGCTTAAAGCCAACGTTTCCATTTTCATCTGCTGTTTCCTGTCTCCTTCAAAAAGAAGAGTTATTTGGCTCGGGAACACTGAGGTATTTACACAAATTCTGCATTAATTTCACAAGCTCTCCTGCAGCCACCAAATTTCTTCAGACTGCACGCTCTCGGAAGCCAGAACGGCCACCTCCCGTCCCACGGCAGTGTCCAACCTGGCAGGTGACTGGGGTACGGAAAACAACTAAAGACAATTAAAACCCAGAGTCCATAATCTCTCAGAGCCAGCAGAAAAAAACTGGAAAAACCAGAACAGAAAAATAAATAAATCTTGTTTTCTACTTCACGCAAATGAAAAATGCAGAACAATCTTTAAGTTTGTAAGAATGCAAGACAACGCCAGCTACTAGAAATGAGCTGCTTTAAACAATAATGGACTTTTTCATCCTTCTACAAATAAAATTTTGTGGAAACACAACTTAAAACCTCGTGGTTAGCTGAATTATTTTGCGCTCCCGAGCCTGTGCTCTGGGCAGAAGACGCCATTGGCACACCACGTCACCAAGCTCCCTGTGATACAGCCATAGCCATAGAATAATAATTATTATTCTAATAATAATAATAATTATAAGAATAACTCCTAGGTCTAAGGTGGCAGCTGGGTGGCGAGCGCGGGTGCCGTCCCCGACGCCTCGGGTACCTCGGCATCGTACTCCCAGAGCTGGTTCCCCCTCATGTGGTGGCACTTCAGCATGATGACGGGGCCGTTCAGCCTCGAGACGTCCAGGCACAAGTCGTCCGTGCGGATCTCTTTGTCAGCAGTGTACGAAAATACCTGGAGAAACAGAAAACCATTGCAGTGACAGAGAACTAGCAAAAATCCCAACCGACTGCTGATTCAGAATGGGCGGAATTTTCACTCCAGTGGAGCAGAGCCGCTTTCTTCTCCAGACTCCGAGGTGGTGGTGCCTTGGACTCCATGAGAGCCTCACGGGAGCTTCTCCGCTAGGGAATGTCTGTTGTACCTACGAGACGGAATGTCACGTCTGGGGAAAGAAATTTTATGGGGCCAAGCCCAGGAGTCACCCGGGTGTACACTCGGTTTTACCTCCTGGGAAGTCTACACAAGCACGTAACTGTGATCAGCACCTTCTGGAGAAACAGCCTGCTGCCACGCCATAACCGGCACAAGAAACACGGCCAGATTCTCCAATAATCTGAAAATCCCCGATGGCATTGCAGCACCAAGTATCTCTCACTCAAAGGAGCAGCCTGGGTTCAAGAATCACTCGTACACCCATATTGTACAGATATTTTACTGTGCTCGTTACTCAGGGATTTATCCATTACCATTTATCCTGAAGCAACTTCTAACTTCAGTTTTCACCTTATTTGTGTTGGTTTTTTTACAGTAACCATATTTGCATCCAGCATTTTCTCCCAGCCTCAGAGACATGTTTTCAGCCTCGGAGAGGTGCTTTATTCTGTTTTATAGAAAGTAAATACTCGTATTCTGAAACATATTGCCATTTGCATACTTCTCCTTCCTCTCATCTTTGATAATTGCAATCCCCTGTTCCCTTACATCTTTTGAATGAATAAGGGATGTCTGAATTAACAATTACAGAAGACGGCTTTGAAAAACATGCCGTCTTGAGAAAGAAAAATGAATGCTAATTAAGACGATGTAAAATTATCAGGCTAGCGTTTTGCTACCATCTATATTCATTATAATTATATTAATGCCGTATAAAAATAGCGGGTGAGGGACACGTTGCATTTTATAGCTAATTAAGCGGCGTATTCCACCCGTGGCAGCCCAGGAGAGGCCAGGAGCCCAGCCCGCTGCCACCGCGGGCACCCGCGCCTCGGGGACAGCTCTGCCCTGGCTGCTCCTGCGCAGCCATGCCAGGGGGCTGTCGCCGGGGCCAGCCTTCCCCGCGGTCTGGCCATGGAGGAGCGGTCCTGCCGGGCCGGAGCAGGCGATGCTCCATCACTACGCCTGCTGTCCTCCCATGGACAGACTTACTGCCTAGGAACAGCAGCAGGTTTTTATAGGAGTTCATGTATTTTGTATTTATTTCTTGCTAATAGTCTTAATTAATGCATCTCCATACCGTAAGCTCAGAGGCAGAAGTCAGCCCCATAAAGCCAAAGGTCTGTCAAAGCCAACGGTTGGGATGGAGCCATCGGCCACACTGAGCCACCAGACCCGCCTCGCACATCACTGGTCATTTCACCACTCCTTTCATGTTCACAGAATCCCAGCATGGTCAGGGCTGGCAGGGACCTCTGTGGGTCCCCCAGCCCAGCACCCTGCCCAAGCAGGGTCACCCAGAGCAGGGGGCACAGCACCGCGTGCAGGAGTCTCCAGAGAAGGAGACTCCACAGCCTCCCTGGGCAGCCTGGGCCAGGGCTCCATCACCCTCAGAGGGAATAATTTCTTCGTCGGTTTCAGCTGGAGCTTCCTCTGCTTCAGGTTGTGCCCGTTGCCCCTTGTCCTGTCGCTGGGCACCACTGGAAAAAGTCTGGCCCCGTCCTCCTGACACCCACCCTGCAGATATTTGTAAGTATTTGTAAGTATATATTACGTTAAAAGGAGCCAACGAAGTCTTCCTCCTGATAAAAGCCCGAGAAACTAATCAGTTTGTTCAACGCCAAAAAAACACCAAGCAACATCATTAACTGGAAATCGTTCGAGTGGTCAATACAAATCTGCTGCTATTTTTATTTATATATATAATATATGGGCAGCAACAGCCCATGGCCAGAATTTTCTTTTCCCGTTCTTTGGTTGTCCTTTTCTTTGGAAAACAGTTAAACAGTTAGCCAGGGTATTTTGTCAACTCCTAAGAAGTCTACTACAGAGAATATTGTTCATAAACCTTTATTTTATACTTCGTTATGTGGAACTAAATCTGGAGGATGCCCCTGTGCAGCCAAGGAAGACGTCCACCACGCAATAAAGACAGTTATAAATCAGACATAACTCAGTACAGAAAAAATCTAATTCATCCTGACAACCACTTCAATTATCCATGCAACTCCCAGAGGTACATTTTGAATTCACCTTTCAGAATAGTCTCAGAATAGAATGGTCGGGGTTGGAAGGGACCTCTGTGGGTCCCCCAGCCCAACCCCCTGCCCAAGCAGGGTCACCCACAGCAGGCTGCACAGCACCGTGTCCAGGCGGGGCTGGAATATCTCCAGAGAAGGAGACTCCACAGCCTCCCTGGGCAGCCTGGGCCAGGGCTCCGTCACCCTCAGAGGGAAGAAGTTCTTCCTCGGGTTCAGCTGGAGCTTCCTCTGCTCCAGTTTGTGCCCGTTGCCCCTTGTCCTGTCGCTGGGCACCACTGGAAAGAGTCTGGCCCCGGCCTCCTGA